AATCGATGGCATCTAAAAGTGAAACGCTGCCACTATCTTTTTTGTGTTAAATAATAACTAAGCAACAAATATGCGTCGAAATAGCTATCGAGTAACATTCGTCGAGTACAAATTTATTAAAAATAAAATTTACAAAAAACTAATCTACGATTAATTATGCGTCAGATAATTCTCCAAATAATCGCATACTTTGATTAGAAAATAAAATAAAATAATAGTAGAACAAGCGCATAATAACTCGTATTCTTTGAGGCAGTCACGTCTTTGAACACTCGTTTCTGCCATTCAATAATCGTATTTCTTTGACAGCTGTCGTAGCGTAACTGAAACACTTTGATTTTTTTTATTGTATTTATTAACAACTATTTGGCGAATATGCATCAGAATAGTTGTCGAGTAATAATCGCATAGTACGAATTTATTAAAAATAAAATTTTAAATTAATTAATTAATATGTAATTAATGATTCATCTTATGCTTTGCCTAGTAATCGCATATTTGGTAAAAATAAAATAAAATAATGGTTATGCGGATCACAGTTCCGACGCATTGTTACAAAAACAAATACATATAATATGTTCTGCGAATTGACTTCATAAGCAATCCCAACTCAAAGGTCGGCTGGCTGGGCAGCATACAATCTTTGGTTGTACATTTTAATAAACATCAGATGCTACTTACCTCAGTATCTGAAGCCACGAGTACTCAAAGAGTTTGTTAGGTAACGTGAACACTTTTTGAGGCGTTTTCTGACACACGCAATATATCCTGGTCGGGGGCCATTTTATCAACTTATGCCGACACAAATTAAAACTCATATGGACAAAGTTATAAACAGAGACTCGACTTAATGGAGGTAGGTTGACCGAGTCAAGGTAGGTTCTTGAGGGCGGTGGGTCAAGTTATTGACATGTGGCATAGATGACCTCCGATTGTAGATGTCGAGCTGGTGTGAGACAGCGCATCAAACTCCAAATGATGACTTCGGCGCGACCTGAAGAGCTAACAGAGGCATTTGCAATACAACATAACATCTCATGAAGGCATGATTTCGAGAATATTGAGATATGCAAGAAAATCTAATGCAACAAGGTATGTGTACATCTTGTTGCCTTCAGTAGGACTCGTGTGATACAAGGTAACCATTCTCATATATAAAGGTTGAGCTATGATTATTGTAAGATTACGTTTTATTGATTATTTTCTTATATACGTCATATACGATGGATTGAATTGATTTTCAGACGTCAAAAATATTTCTAACATTTTTTTATTTACTTAGACAAAAAGATATTAAAAAGAGAAAACTCGGCTACCAGAACCATACTGGAGAAAATTTTATTGTGGGGCTTGTTTTTGGATTTTGTATCATAATAGGATCTAAGATTTCACTTTTTCAATTGAATGTTTCAATTTTAAGTTATCTTCAATATAAGACATATTTTTACATTTTACTTTTCAATTTAAGACTCCAAATCCAGTGACGGAGCCAGGATTTTCACTTAGGGGGGTCCAATTTTAAATGTTAAATAGCGAGTTTATAGTTTAAGTAAAAACGCGCATTTCATATAAACTTGTGTTTACTTATAAATACAGTGTATCATCAAATTTTTAAAAACTTAGAATCCGTATCACCGGCTGAGATGATACGGATATTCGAGATAGGGTCGGGGTGGCTCCAATGAGAAATTGGTCCAACATCGGCTGAGGTGGTTCGGACATGTCCAACGGAGGCCTCCTGATGCACCTGTGCGTAGGGGAGTTCTACAGCGGGTCGATGATGTAAAGAGAGGTAGAGGTCGGCCTAAACTCACTTGGGAAGAGTCGGTTAAGAGAGACCTTAAAGATTGGAATATCTCCAAGGATTTAGCAGTGGATAGGAGCGCTTGGAGGCTAGCAATCTACTTGCCAGAACCGTGACTTTTGCTCTTTTCTCTTTTTGTTCCAACCCCTTCCTTTTGTTTCGAGCCCTTTTTGTGTTTCTCTTCCCATTGTTTCTCTTGAGTTTCATCTCTAGCCTACCCCGACTTGCTTGGGACTAAAGGCTATGTTGTTGTTGTTGTTGTTGTTAGAATCCGTATCACCCTCAAACTTTTTTTTAAGGCAAAAAAAAAAGAGTTCGTGTATTTATAATTTAAGTTTAAGATCTATAATTTATGGGAAAAAAATAAGTTTTTTTGTTCAAAAATTGATTTACATTGAACTTTTGCAACACATTACCTAACATTTTTTGTTGATGAGAATTTATTAAATGACCATTTTATTCATAAAAAAATAAATAAAGTTGAAAATATGTGATTACATAAAATCTAACAGTCCAACTAAATTCTAGGTTTTTATAAATCATTAAATTGATTTACAATTAAGAGGCCGAAAGAGTAAATTATTATATTATTTTTAAAAATATATCTAGAAATGTAAAATATAAAGATTGTTAGTATATTTTTTAATAAATAAATAATATTATTATTTTAAATTAAAATAGCATTAAAAATAAATTTTAATTATTTATATATTCTACATATTTTTTATATTTTTATTCATAGTTTATAGTATTTTTTATTTCTATATAACTATGTATATAACTATATATATATATAATGATTTTTTAAAAAAATTGAGGGGGTCCATGGCCCCCCCCTGGACCCAATGTAGGTCCGTCATTGTCCAAATCACTTTGTATTTTAACATAATTATGTAATCTATAATATTCTTTTTTTTTTTAATTTATTTTTTAAGTACTTGTAATGAAAAAATTAAATATCTTTAGTAAAATTACCTAATAAGATATTTCATAATTTACAAGGCAAAAGCTTAATGAAATTTATTTTAAAAGTTAAAAAATAAATTTTACCTGAATTTTAATCTAGATAACATTAAAAAAATAAACTTTTAGAAAAATAATTTAAAAAAAAATATAGAAAATATTATTTGTGAATGAAATTTATATATTTTTTAAAAAATTAAGAATATATAAAATTAATACCTATAATAAAAGTATTAAATATATTTGTAAAACTAGCTTCGAAAGAGAATTAATTCAAATAAGTTACATTTGTGCAAAATTAATTTAGCGTAAATGAACTAATTTTCTTACTAAAGATATTTATAATTATTTGAAATATAAATTTTAAAATAATAATATTTTAGTTTATATATTTTTGTAAAAATATAAAGTTCGTTGGTGTCTTAAATTAAAAATTAAAATATAAAAATAAGACTTTAATTAAAAATAACTTAAAATTAAAATCCTCAAATACAAAAATAAAAAATTCAAACCTTGTTACCAAAAATTCAAGTCTTACGATGGAATTTACTCCATCCCGTCACATAGGTGGAAATTTCCAGTTTCCGAAAGATCGAACAGTCGGTGCACTGTGCTCCACAACTCAAAAGATTTTTTCAACTTTGTCATCAGAAAATGTTAAACAAATCAATACCACCAGTATCTAATGGAAAACAAATTTCCACTTGGCACAAATCCGAGGCAGCACAAAAATTCCCATCATTTTTGTATTTAAATCAGCTACCGGACCATCCCCTTTGTTGCCCGATTTGCCAAGAAAATTATCACGCCCACGGTTCCCATGGCGATTGAGGTAATTACGTCATTTTTCGCAAAAAAAAAAATTAAAATAAAAAAAGAAGGTTTATTGGCTTTGTCAAAAACCAATTAAAATCTGGGGAATATGTGTTCTGGTTCTGCAGGCATGGTTTATGGAAGAAAGTGATGAGGATCAGAGGCTTCCGCATCACAAGAACCCGCGCGAATACGTTTCGCTGGATCTGTTGGCGGATCTCGGAGTTCTCTACTGGCATTTGGATCCCAAAAAATATGAGGATGACCCGGAATTGGACAACATCAGGCGAGCTAGAGGATACAATTACATGGTCTGTTTTCGGTTATTCTTATCTTTCTTCTTTTTCTTTTTCAATTTTTACTACTCAATACTACTATAATGATTTACTACTTCCATTTTATTTTGGGACTGCAAAGTATAATTAACTAACTGTTGGTAACTGACTACATCCGTGTAATTTGAGGAAAGGGTTTATATTTGAGAGAGTATTTTATGACTTCACCAAACAAAAATGTAGATTTATAGAATAAATATCATATTGTAAGATATTTTTAATGAAAGTATGCATATTTATGAGATTTTTTCTTGAATAGGTACATAAAGCCTGAGGTTTATTATTATGTGGCCAAATTTATTCCAAACATTGGCTGAAAAGAAATGATTTACTTGTGTACAATCTGCACGTCAGGTGCTCGATAAAATGTCCCAATAAGCTCATATTTTAATCGAGCAGTGTCAGCCATCTTTTGCTCGGTTTCTGTTGTTAACGCCACATAATATCTGAAACTTTTACCTAAAGAAGTAGAAAATTACGCTCTGTTTGAAGGATTTGCTGGATTTGTGTCCCGAGAAAGTTGAAAACTATGAGCAGAAGCTGAAGAACTTCTATACGGAGCACATACATGCGGACGAGGAAATACGCTACTGTGTGGAAGGGAGCGGCTATTTTGACGTGAGGGACAAGGACGACCGTTGGATTAGGATTCTGATCAAGGCCGGTGACCTCATTGTTTTACCTGCTGGGATTTATCACAGGTTCACCCTTGATATGGGCAACTATATCAAGGTATAATAAAGTGCTGACATGTCCATAAGCAGAGAATGAAGTACATAATCAACTATAATTTTAATTTATTTTTGGCCGTAAAATTTGAATGATTAAGCAATGGCATGTTGTGTGAAAGTGCAGTTGATGAGACTATTTGTGGGAGAGCCAGTTTGGACACCTTTTAATCGGCCACGGGAGAATCATCCTGCAAGAAAGGATTACGTGAAGAGAATGATCGACAAATTTGGATCGACAGTAGAAGCCCACTAATTAAGTGTAACGATTGTGCTTAAACTCTACTTTTGTTAATCATTCGTATCTCGTTAATCATTTGTATGTGTAGAGTTTGTGTGCAGATGTGATTGAAACGGAACAAAAAATTATGTTTTGATTGAAATCAAATCTATATGAAATTAATGTGACACTCTTAATAAAATTGCAGATGTATGTTCCTAAGTTATAACTGCACAATATAATGTATCTGGTTTTATGTTTGTAATATAGATGAAGGTGCTTTTTCTACGGTTTTCTGTCATTTCTTGAAATACATATGTTGCTTCTGTCTT